GAGATAGGGGATGAGGCTCTCCGAGTTGAGATGCTTCTATAATGCATGTAGGCCTGTTGTAGACATGATAAAAATGGAATATTGACTATAGATTTACACACATGAACATTTCTTTACATCAGTGAACATGTTGAGCTGGACAGACAAACATAACCCATAACAGAACACCCACACCATATGTGTACATGCTATACAAAAGGACACGCACTATTCATTTATCTCAACAGCCCTAAAGCAGCAACTTCATCAAAGACAAACATCTAAAAAAAATAGGGTGCACTTTCATTCAAAGTGTTTCTTATTCTCCTTAAACCTACTCTAAGTGTTTCATAATGAACATCCCAAGTGTTTCTGTCTGGAAAGCTGGTAATGGAATATTTATAGAATATTTCTGGGAATACTTATGGGAAACTGGTTGTAACAAGCATCTTTGTTCTACTGAAACACAATTTTTTTCAATTTCTTCTTCTTGGTGTCTTTTTTTCTGTGCCTGAGTCTCTCTGCTATGCTCCCTATGTTTCTGTCTTTGTGTCTCATCGTATAGCCAGTGTGTGTCTGTCTTCCTACCACTTTTTTTCCACTGCTTTTTCAACAACCTCAAAACCTGAGCTCAGTCAGAGCCTCAATATGAATCTCATATGTAATGCATTGCCATAACAGAAATCTCTTAGAACTCATCTATCTTACAGGCTGTTCTCTGCTCATTGTAACACCATGGCACTATGTATAATAGGCGCACTCTCACTGAAAACTGTCTTTAACAACTGCCCCTCATTGTGCGTGCCTCATGACGCCTGGAAACAGCTGTAATCTCAAGTAATTCCCACCACAGCCATTCACTCTTGCTTGCAAATGTGAATTCTTTATTTTTGTCCATTAAGCTGGCAAAACAAATGTTCAACGCTCACTATTATACGCATGTTTTTAATGCACTGCAGAGTGACAGATAACACTGGAAGAATCTGAGTGTGCTTTCTCACGTGTGCTGTAATTTGCAACTCCACCCTGACATTTATAAATTGAAGGCTCAGCATATGCTCGATGTAAACATGTCCCAGAGCGCATTACGGTTAAATGTTGCAAGATGTTTTTGAAAAAGCACAAAATACTCACATGGTTAGAAAATCTGTCTGCAGCAGAAAGACTGTCCTTAAAAATGCAATTAAAAGTTTACGTGTGCTTGCTTTGTCATACAACAGAGACAACACAACAGTTTAGTTTAACTGCTTCCAATGGATGTCTGAGACATTTCATCATATCAGTGAGACTCAGCAGCAATGTGAGTTTGTATGGTTTAGGTTTTGAATTTTGGAGTTCTAATCCAGATGTCCATGGCTAATGTGCGATGGATGAGTGAGTAATATGAGTATCCACTGTAGTTCCAAACTAAGGAACAGTGTTTATTGTAACTGTCATAAACATGATGTGGCAAGTTTTAATAATAACAACTGCACTGCATTAAAACATCCACAGCAGTTGGGATATCCAATCTTTAAGTGATGACGTATGAACCCTGCTTCCGGGTACAAACTACTCTGCATTTATTAAGGCTGTTGTGTTTTTAAATGGTAAATGGCCTGTATTTATATAGCGCTTTACTAGTCCCTAAGGACCCCAAAGCGCTTTACATATCCAGTCATCCACCCATTCACACACACATTCACACACTGGTGATGGCAAGCTACATTGTAGCCACAGCCACCCTGGGGCGCACTGACAGAGGCGAGGCTGCCGGACACTGGCGCCACCGGGCCCTCTGACCACCACCAGTAGGCAACGGGCGAAGTGTCTTGCCCAAGGACACAACGACCGAGACTGTCCAAGCCGGGGCTCGAACCGGCAACCTTCCAATTACAAGGCGAACTCCCAACTCTTGAGCCACAATCGCCCCACATCGTTTAACCTGTTTAATGCTTTGAATTTTGTTTTATTTAATGTGAACCCCCCCCCCCAAAAAAAGTCAGTGACCACTGTCGACTTCTCTCGGTTGTTATCATCAGTTTTCATTTTAAAGCTCAGTTTTTAAAACCTTACAATGTACCTATGGCCCAGCCCATGCAGCAGTATATTAATGACTAACCTTGTATTGCAGTTGTTCTCCTGACTGAAGTTTGGTCCGTTTACAGCATCCTGCCATGCAATTACATTTGTCCCTAATCATCGGGAACTCTCAGGTTAACTTTTATTGAGTGGAAAAACCTTAGCGTTCATCCTCAAGCTTCACTGTGTTTATGTTGTGCTAACCATAGCTGTGTAGCCAGCCACCACGCAGCACATCATTATATACCAGCTAGCCCAACTTCAGTTTTCTGTCTTCATTTATGTCGAAAGTGATTACAGAGCTGCACGTTTTAATTTTTGCTGTGGCAGTTAAGCTGCTGGATTTTTGGCTTCATGACCCTCCTTCGTGGTTCGTGCACATTGAAGCTCAGTTTGCTCCCTGTGGCTTTTCAGCTGACGACATGAAATACCAACACGTGGTGGCCTTGCTGGATCCGCTGTCCAACCGTCATGTGATAACCGTTTTCCGGCATCCCCCCCCCCCCAAGGGAAATACATCGCTCTTAAGGTGCTGCTGCTGCTGCGGCGCTACTCCCTCTCCGATGCAGAGCGGGCCGAGAAACTCCTCTCTCTCGTACCACTCTCGAGCTCACGGAGAGCATGCTGTCCTTCCTAGGACGACAGCGAATTCCTCTTCAGTCACGTCTTCTTCCTGCAGATGCCAGTGCGAGCTGGCTTCGCCAACTCCCCGCTGCTGGCTGCGAAGACCCACATTATGCAATTCATTTGCACAAATGTGTTTGATCTGCTGCTTGATGGTCACTCTCAAAGTGAGAGAACTCATTGAGAATCTATAAGAAAATCAATAAGTAATCAAACTGATAACTGATATCAATAATACAATTGGAATTGCTTAATTCTTTCATTTCCCTTCCTTGGACACGACTGTGACAAAACTAGCTTAGTGCCCACGCTGTGCGGCAATTATGGCATACTGTGCGTGGTTGAATGTAGCTGGAATTGTTTACATGTTGATCTGATTTGCAGTTGATTTAGCAGGGTCTGAGTATAAATTCATTGTTTCCTGTAACTTATGTGTGGTTATTTATAGATATCCGTGTAATTTTCATGCAAATTAGGTCTACCCAACAAGTGGACCATAAATTCACCCTGTGGCAAGACTTCAAAAGTAGCCCAGTTCTGTGGGAAATTACGGACTTGGCAACACTGCCACTAACTGTCTTTGCTTAGTCACTTCAAAAGAGTATAAAGTGATGAATTCTTTCAGCTCTGTTTCTCTTCTTCTATTCCAGGGACATATTTGCTGCCCCATGTGAATGATACGTGAGAATTTCACACTTTTCTGGAATCTATAAAACATGAATAGGCAAATCAACCACATATATAGACAAACATATCAAGAGCTATTTACAGTCACTAATGATGAAATACTTACTTGAAAGAGTTGTGGGAAAAACTTAAACTGATAACGTTAGGTGGGAAGAACTATTCTTGAAGGTTACCTAACTTTCTTGGATAGACAGTCATGGCCTTGGACAGCATAATTAAAGCCAACGTAGGTTTAATTTACTCGATGGGTTCAATAATTATTAAGTTAGAGAAAGCTCGGCTAAGAGGTGGGAGAGCACTAGGAACTGAGTGCACAGAAAGAACGCAGACTTTGGAGGAGAGGGCTAAGTGGTGATGCAAAGAGAAAAGGAAAGAAAGAAGAGGACGTGAAAAGAGAGTTGTCCTGGAGGCAGAGCTAGTAAATGAGTCATTGGAGTGAATCTGCTATCAGGTCTATTCTAACAGTGCTACAAGTGAATGGATGCCTTAAAGGTTAGGCATAAAATGATTTCTCATTTTGCTGCGATATACCCCCTGGTAGACATTAACGCTTTGGTTATGGACTTGAGTGTAAAAGCTCCTGAGGTAACAGGCTGCTTGTCTGCCATAAATATTTCTGGCTATATGTATGTATATTGTTATTTGAATGAGGCTGCTTTTATGGAGATGAGTATATTTTTGTGCAAATAGTTAAAGTTGATGTGATGCTGTGTGTCATTTCTATAGCCAGGTAGTCATTCTGTCTACACAAAGCCAACTCCCCTGGTACCTCACATCACAGCTGGGACTCTGTTCAGCTCCGATCCTCCTGACCCATTTCAGTGCACAGATACACACACACACACACGCTCAACCACACACACATATATACACCAACTGACAGTTGCGAACAGACCCATGCATTCATACAAAGCAAAGCAGCCACACGCAAAACACTTACATATGTGCCAAGCTTCATTTCTGCTCTACTGAGTCTGTTCGTGTCACAACTTTGCAGATGTTTAAGCCATGGGGACATGAACACTAAATTTGCAGAAATTCTCTTCCCGGTTGTTTGGTTGGAACAGCGGGTTTTGAAATGATAATGAATCTGTGGGCCTGGATTTCCCACATGGCATCCTGTCTAGAGTGGAAACAGAAGAAATTGAATAAGGCAGCACTGGAAAGCAGCAGCAAAAGATTTTTTATTATTATTACCAAATGTAAAAGTCAAATTCTGGCTGAACTAGGTAGATGAAGCAGTTGGCATTTCTAAGAATAATAAAATGTTAAAAAAGTGCGAATCTGAGGTTAATGTTACTGCTGCAGAGTGCAGATGGCTCCCCGTACAGTTAATTTAGAGTTCAAAGTCTTGCTCTATCAGCCAATAGCTGATGAGCACAAGCAATATAAAAATAAGCTAAATATACATCCAAAAGAAATCATGGATAAAATGCTGACTCACATTGCATAAAAAACAAAACACAGATATGAGTTATATTGCATTCCAACACATGCGATTTCAGATGTTGATTGTAGATGTAATAAACAGCTATAATAACTTCATTACACACACTTATGTCACACAGAGGTTAAAAGAAGAATCACGCACAAAGTGGGAGAGGCAGTGTATAGGTCAGATTCCAAAACATTATAAATTCACAGCTAAAACTGACCATCCAATCTCAGTGTGTGATCATAAGTGTGGAAAAAGAAATATCAGAGAACATGAAGACAGAAGGTGCGATGCTGCATCAACTGGCATCGGGAGATGGCCCTGAGCCTGAGCTGATGTGTATCTTTGGGACTGGGGACTTAGGACGCTCTCTGGGCCTGTGTCTGCTCCAGTCCGGCTACAGGGTGGTGTATGGCAGCCGCAGACCTCACAGCTGTGGCCCCTTGCCTGAGGGAGCTCAGGTATGACTTATGGCATTATATTGAACTGAATAGAGTTTTTAAATTTAGAAACATTACTGTACGTATCTCAAACATGTTCTGTCCTTTGTTTTGCGGAGGTGATGACCCATGAAGAATCAGCCCGGTCTGCCAAGATGATCTTCGTTTGTGTTCACAGAGAACACTATGAATTTCTGGAGAAGATGGCACCTCAACTTGAAAGAAAGGTTAGTCCAAAGTTAAAATTGGAATAAAAAAGATACACCTTTAAATCTTTAAACACCTTTAAACTCTTTTTTTTCCTCTTTCTTTCTGTGAATCCACATTTCTACATTTTCATTTGCCAGCTGGCCTGGAAACAATATTTAACATATTGTGTACACATAGGTTATTACATTTGTTCCCACATATGAAACATGATAGCAAGAGTTTAAAAATGACATTTTCATGGAATTATCATGGCGATTTGTCAGCAATAATTCATGTTATTTGAGAGAACATATAAATATTAACTGCTGTGTCATTCATATATCAAGGAAATAATTTTTAGACACATGTTATCTAAATCATGGGTCTGACAATCAATGACTGATGAATTGTAACTCATTTTGATAACAGCATTAGCTAATGCAAGTTCATTATGTTAAAGGTCTAACTGGTGTTAGCACAGCTGATTAAAGAAGCAATACATTGGTCAATCTGAGCCTGCGTAGCTTCAATTACAGTCTCAAAATACTTTAAACACATTCACACTGGATAAAGCAAAGTGCCGCCGTAAGACAGGAGAGAGGACGTCTGAAAATGGGCTTTTGTATGCGTATGTAGGTAATCCTTGACAGTGATTTGTGAAATTCTTTTTTTAAAATAAAATAATCTCAAGATCTCGGAAGTTTATTACTTCGCTTGAACATCTTCTGACACCTCTGCGCTCAGTTGGATTGTGGAACAGTTTGTCCTCAAGACATTAACCACAACATTTTCCTCAGTAAATGTTCTGAATTGTTAAGAAAACATTAAATATTAGCATTACTTTAGTTCTGTTACAGATCAAAAGACGTGAAAAAACGATTACTTTTAGGTTTGCATTGTTTTATCAATTAAATCCTGCTAAGATGATTGTGCTACTTTGTAACTTTTATTTGCAGCATGAATTAAGGATTAAATCTTAACAACAACTAATGCCATGCAACAGCACAGTGTAATACTACTACTAATAATAATAACTATTCTCATTTTAAAAGAATGGCCAAGTTACATGTGGGAATATTACATTTTAGCCCATGATAAACAAAAATAACTCAGGAAATTAAAAACACAAGCAGATCAAAATGGCCCATTATTTAGAAATATTTGAAGTGGAAACAAAAAATTTCAAGGAAAGCAAATCAGAGACAAAATTATTAGTAATTTATTTGTGTGTTGTTGTGACGTTAGCTGAGGGCGGTTTAGTTGGCTCTAGACCTTACAGTACTACAGAAAGACACTGAACAAATCCCTCTTGAGGAAGAACCTCTGACTGAACCAAATTCAGGCTGAGGGGCTGTCTGTCTGAAACGGTCGGGGGTGACAGGAGAGTGGAGAGGAAAAAAAATGAGCACTTGAAAAATAACAAACAGTGAGCAGGTTTGCAGGGACAGTAACCACAAGTCAAAACCAAGCAGCTATGGATCGAGACACATCTCCAGAAAGGTACGGAGAGAGGAGAAAGCATAAAATACAGGAGAAAGAACCAGAGGCTACTGACATGTAATCATGGGAAATGAATACACAGAGTGAGGAGGGTGGACAAGAGGTGCTACACAAAAACACAACGTTATCCAGTCACACCTTATGTGTGTGTAATGTCAGTGTTTTCTGCTGTTCACATCTTAACGGAATCATTCACATGATTTTTGTAAAAGGATGTGCATGAAATAAATGACAAATATTATAACTACTTTATTTTTTCTCTCTACTCAATCAATGCTGATGGATTTATTTCAAGGTGCTGGTGGACCTCAGTAACAACTTGAAGAAAGACATGTACATGGAAGCAAATGCCGTCTACTTGCAGAGGTAACATACGTCCTCAAAAGTATGGAAAAGAAAAAGAGTCTCTCATTCATGAATACACTGTGCATGCAAGTCATTCCTTCTGTTCACCAAGGGAGCCTAACCTTTTTTTGTTCAATCTTTATTTGTTGTCAAAAATATCTTTTTCTTTCATTGCAACTGTGCCTATTACAAATCTATGTGAGAATGACATTGTTGTGGAAAAATGCTCCTAAAGACCTCTTGGAAAATGAGAGATCAAAACTCTCCACTGAATCCTAAAGAAGTGAAACAAATCAAGTGGTTGCAGCTCCCTTGACAGGTGAGCCTGCTGTGTATCCATTCGGTTGAAGTGGAAACATTGATTCTCATCGTTTTGAGACTTTTTCTTTCCCCTGGGCGTCTTTGTAAAAGAAACAATAGCAACTAAAGTCCTTTCTGTGTGTTCTCTAGGCTGGTCCCTAAAGCAGCCGTTGTTAAAGGCCTTAACACCCTGTCCACCTGGGCCCTGCAGAATGGACTTCAAGCAGGAAGACAGGTAAAACAAGAGTAGAAGTAAGGGATCTGTTAAAAAGATGTCAGCTGGCTTAAGACAAAACAAAGTCAGGAAGCTTCTGAGCCTTAAGGAAGACTATGGCTGACAAGAATAAAGATACAAACAAAGCAGTAACAGAAAGAGGAGATTACTAAATTGATCTGATCACCATGAGAAATGTTTGACTTCAAACTACAAAATAACATCTGCTTTCAGCATTTTCTGTTTTGCGATGGGAAAAAATGTCTCTTGAACTGCTTAATAACAGGAGATTGCTTCAACATACGCCGTGCAAAATTTAGGGAAGCAATTGATTTCAGTTTTGTTGCTGCTGATTATTGATTTTGCTGTCTTACCATAACAATGCGAGAGAAAATGAGGGCAGCGCTTGTAAAAATACACAAACAAGCACACTTCATGATCTTACAAAGTTGAAAGACCAGTGTTTATTGCAGCTTCCGTTTCACGGCTACAAAGAGAAACACAAACATGCTCGAACCTCTGGAGACCAAACCTGAATCTGCCTCAAATCCTCTTCAACACAAACAAGCCCCCATACGTGTGCACGTAAACACAAACACACACACACACACACACACACACACACACACACACACACACACACACACACACACACACACACACACACAAACCACTGCAGTGTTCTATTTCTTTGAAAACAGGTAGCTGTGAGAGAAAAGAGGGTGTGTGTGTTTGAATGTGTGTTTCTTTATCAGCGCATATGTAGTTACAGTATATATCCACACACACTCATGCTTTTAAGTGTGTGCTATTCCCCAGCCAGCAATTTGATTAGATCCACAGCGGGGCTGTGGCTCTGTCACATTTACATTCAGATGGAGATTTAGTCTGTCGGCTGTCCCCTGCTGTTACTGGTGCAGTAATGTAGGGAGACATGGCTGGCTGCCCGGTCCACTTACACACACACACCTGGGGAAAACTGCTCAATCCCACTGACTCTCCTATATGCCTGTCAAACTGCTCTCTCTCTGTCACACACTCTCTAGCTCTCGTTAGTTCTCGCCTTTTACAAACAAGTTAATCGTCTTATCACAGAGCTGTGAGTGCAGTAATAAGCTTCACCATGCTGTGATCTAGAATGGGATTACATATTGAGCAGCATATGTATATAAAGTAGGCACGTGTGCTTACCTAGTAATACATTTTCAGGGGCTTCTTCCCAAAAAACTGAAGGAGCGGTGGGTGACAGATAAAACAGGGGTAATTCTGTGGACACACAATGTAGGTGTAGCTGTGCAGTCATTCACTAGATATTCGAATCAGGTGAGTCATCTATTAGTAATAGAAACACAGATCATAAGAAAGTGTTGAGAGAAAAAATTTAATAAATGTTAATATTCATATTATTATTTTAGAATCTGCTTTCATCAATTTACCAACTAATACAGTTTGGAACTGCAAAGAAAAGATAATATTAGTGACACGATGAAACTTCACAGACAGTTAAAACCGCATCATCTTCCATTTTGGTCAGAAACGACTAAGAACAGATTAATGGTCCGTGCTGTTGCACTGGTAAAAATTCTCCTGCCTGCAGACATGAATGCAGAAGGTGTAGGTTTTTGAATCAGTCGCACATATGCTGTCCTGCTGCCTTAATACTCATTAGAGAACCAGACTGCCGGCTGAAAAGCCCCCAACAAAAGCATCATTTATTCCTGTTTCAGGAGTCTTTGATAAAACCTGCAGTGCAAAGCTTAGTGAGAATTTTTCAAACCTTTAAAAAATTTTAATTTTATATTTGTGACAAGCTCTATATGCCTTTGGAGAAATACACATTTATAGACTATTTCTATTTATGCCCTAGGTGTACCTGTGTGGGAACAATGGAGAAGCAAAACGGGATGTGGCAGAGATGGCCACCAAACTAGGCCTCACTGTTGTGGACAAAGGGTCCCTGTCAGCTGCTAAAGAGGTGGAGGACTTTCCTCTGCAGCTGTTCCCAGAGTGGAGGATGCCTTTGTACGTGGCTTTCGGCCTCGCTGCCTTCTTTTTCTTGTATTTGGTCATTAGAGATATCATCTATGCATATGTGGAAAATGATGAAGATATCTCCTACCGCATAATGATATCCCTGGCCAACAAGGTAAAGATATGCTCCTCTTTGTTTAGTTGCTCGTAAAACGGTATTTTACATTTCTCATTGTGTTTTTATTTTCCATGTGTCAGATCACTCCAGTTGTGTCCCTCATTATGCTGTCGCTCTGCTACCTCCCTGGAGCTATAGCTGGGTTCCTTCAGCTCTACAGAGGGACCAAGTACAGGTCAGGCATCAAACATAAACATTTTCATTCCTGGTACAATGTAAAAAAAAAAAAAGGGCATGATTTTTGCAGCGTAAAGTGCCTAACTCATTTTCCTATGTTCCAGGCGTTTCCCCAATTGGCTAGATCGCTGGATGCTGTGCAGGAAACAGTTGGGTCTTCTTGCACTAGGCTTTGCATTGCTCCATGCTATCTACACATTAATCATTCCTGCCCGCTACTCTGACAGACAAAGAGTCATCTCCAATGTGTTGAATGAGGTAAAGTGCAGCAGGCTGGTGCAAACTGATTGGAGTGTTTCTGCAATCCTGCACAAAGAAAAATATTAAATAAAGCTTATATGTACATGTAGAACATTCACTGCAATAACAGTCCCTCCACTTTTCTCTCTTCCTTGTAGGTGAAGAAAAATACTACCACTCCACTTTACTTTGACAATACCAGCGCATGGCGCACTGACTCATTATATGCACTGGGAATCCTGGGCTTCTTTCTTTTTGTCCTGCTGGGGCTAACATCCTTGCCCTCTGTTGGAGGCACTCTCAGCTGGAGAGAGTTCAGCTTTGTTCAGGTCAGTGCAGATAAAAATGCACAGTCCTTCACATGTATGTGCTGTGTGTGAATGTGCATTTTCTCATGCACACCTTTAAATTCTCATGCTTTATCAGTCACGTGTTTCATATCAGTAAAGGCATATTTTAGAGCCTTCTAGATAATCTACATTTAGAACTTCTTAGATTTTTATCAGTTATTAAAGTGTTGTAAAAGCAATATAGCAATATGTCACTGGCACTTGTCTCCCCAGAGCCTAGTTAACTAGCCGCCAAACACAGGCACACAGAGAGACTTTAGCCAAGGATTTTAAATGTTAAGTTATTCATTAAATAGAATTATGATACCTGGTATAATCCTCCAGTGAGAAGATTTTTAATACAGGTCACAGGCCCATTTGTGTAAAGGTCAGGTCCATAGATAGACCTCAGACAGCGAATGGTACTCAGAGATGGAGGTGAAAGTCAAACTAATTCTTATGATCTAGTGAGGAGAGTTATGAAATAAGACATGAAATAACAATAATATGCTTACATAAGCTTACTTTTTGCTTCTAGTTGTGATCACTGTTGTCAACATGGGAATATAAAGCCCTGAATACAAGCAAATATCCAAAAATGCTAGGACACTGTGTAATATGATATTTACTCTCCACTGGTTTAATAAGGTGCAAGTAGGTGCAAGATCCCTTATCGTCATCACACAGGGGCACAGTTTATTACTGCGCCATAGCAATAGCACTGTTTGCTTTCTCTGCTGTTTGCCCTTATTGCAAATGCTAAAACATGGAAATGGAGGCACATTATGCACTAGGTTGTTTGTTATTATGTCTGTGTCTGTGCATGTCAGTCTTAAATTCAGCATAAAGCATTTCCAAGGATAGTTTGGTAATTTGGGAGATAGCTCATTCTCATTCTCTTTCTTCCACAGAGTTAGATGAGACAGTTGATACCATTAGTTTGTCTGTGTGGTAAATTTGCCCGTACCAGCCTAGAGTTGACTTATCCTAGCTTAGAGTAGCATGACAAAAGGAGAAAGCAAATACTGTCACAACAAAACTGAGCGCCTCTAAACCTCACCAGTTAATTTGCTTTTTAAAAAAAACCTTCTACCTTTGGACAAAGGTTCCACACATTTTCAGTATTTTTGCTAAGCTAAGCTGAACCCATATTTTTTACTTGTGTTTGATTAACTTTTGCTTTTATGCTCTGTAAGTTTATTTTAAAGCACTTTGTGATGTTGATCACAAAATGCTTGAAATAAAATTTTTATTACCTACTTAATAAACTCAACACTAGTTTCATGTTTATTTAACAGATAACAGAAAGCTTACCGTCTTCTTGTTGAACTCTTTTGTATTTAATCTTTAATTTTTACCATTGTGTGTGTGTGTGTGTGTGTGTGTGTTTCTTTTTCCCCACAGTCGACGCTGGGCTACCTGACTCTTTTTCTCTCCACTGCACATTGCTACATTTATGCCTGGGATAAATTCCTTCGCAAATCTACGTATAAATGGTACACTCCTCCGGACTCCATGCTCTGTCTAATTGTTCCTTCGGTAACACTGGTGCTCAAGCTGGTCCTCGTCCTCCCCTGCGTGAACCGTCCGCTCATGCGCATTCGCCAAGGCTGGGAACGCAACCGGTTAAAGGATGAGATGGGTGAACTCAAAGCCACTAACATGTGATCCAGGGTTGCTGAATGTTTCAATGACATGTTATATTATTTTTCATTTGTAGACAATCATAAAGTAGGGAAAATGAAATAGCATAACAATCGTTTCGATTTTGCACAAAGTAAAGAAAAAGAAAGACCAGTGGTTCCAGTGGTGAGTTACTGTCTGATCCTGCCTGTTCCTGACTTTGCAATACTCAGAGAAAAGTCAGGTGTATGCCAAATTGACATGCTTCTGTTGATATAAATATTTTTAATGTGTATTTTCTTTTTGAGTGAAACCCCCCCACACATTTCAGATGTTTGTGTTGTATCTTTTTCACCAAATGTGCTGAAAAATAGATTGCTATCCCCTGTTGAAATCCACTGTTTTGATAAACATAGGCAATAGTTTCTGTATTCCACTCTCCCTTCCCTTCAAGTGGAGCAATTGTATCCCTGAGGTTGCTCTCTTTTCAGGATGTTATTGATCTCCCTGCTTTCTGACACAAATATCTCACTACCCGTACCTGCCTCCGTCTCAAGAGCACACCAGAGTGCACACTAAGACACACATGCTTATGATGCACATACACAGCATGAAGGTGAGTAAGTTAATTGGATTTCTGCATGCAGATTATATGAAAAAACAAAACAAAAACACGAAGCACTTAACTTGGGGGCGGAACAACAGATTTTGTAGTCAAAAGCAGATTCACAAACACCTTTACTACCATAGGTCTAGTGCAGTGTTACAGTCACCAGCAAATTTACCAGGCTGAAGCAGGTAGGTAGTAATAAAACATGCAAGCTGCCCTCAAAATACCCACTACTACCGAGGAATTGCTGAGAAAGCAGATCCAGTTAGATTTGAACAGATGATGAGCAAAAATGGGAAACTCAATAGTAATGGCTGACGAACAGGTGCAGGATGGTTAGAAGAGGTTGGTATGCACATCCCTAATGATACAGAGACAGAAAAAGGAAAGAAGAAGATGGAGTAGCTGTCGCCATGACAGATTCTGGTGCTATATAAAGAAAACTCAGTGCCTCTCGCCTAAAGCAGAACATTTAGGCAGAGACATCCTGTTATCTAGCATCTAACAGCATTATCTGCATAAACAATCTGTAATCCCTTACATCCTCTCCTATTGTATTAGCCTCCTGTTACCAGTGAACCGATTTTACCAAACTGCCTGCTGTTCGTGTGCATTGGTGTGTGCGTCTGTTGGTGTGTGAGTTATTCCATTATTCCAGTATTGCCTCTGGAAAGAATTAAGATGTAGCAACATGCAGAGCAGAATAGCTGTGAAACAAGCAAACTTACATAATTCATTTCCTCTCATCTTTAATTTTACACACCTAGACAGCCCTGAAACCTATAATAACTTTATTTGTGTCTAGCCTTGAAGGCTTAAACCTGTGTGAGTGTAAATAGGCTGCAGAAATTGTGGGTTAATACAGAGATCACTGACATTCAAGCTCCACCTTTGAAATGTACAACTAGATATTAAATGAAAGGTGTATAACAAAATAGCATGGGAACTTCAGAAATGTAAATTATATATCCCAGAATTGTGACAGAATAAAATGCATTTAATTAAGAAATTATGGTTTATTTATGGGAGCTTTTCTGCAAAGGATTTTGTTTTTATTATTCATTAGGTCCTTTTTTCTTCATTAAAACCACTTCGGAAAATGACAAATTCTGCAAAATTGGACATCCACAGACATTCAGCCGTCATTATATTTTAGTTACTATTCACATACAGAAATTAGATATTTGAAATTGTGCGCACAGGAGTGTGCAATACCAACACTTTTAACTTTAACTCACAGAAGACGATAATTTGACTGAGCCGATACTTACAGATAAATTATGAGGTTTGCCTTTGACTTGTACAGCCACAGTTCCAAAAACGTTGGGACTGTAAAATGAGATCAAACAACGTAATGACCCATATTTTATTCACAATGGAACAACAGGTCAGTAAATTAAAAGAGCATCTTAGAGAGGCAGACTTAGTAAAGTAAGTAACATTTATTTATATTGCGCTTTTTGAAACTGGAAGTTTTTTCAAAGTGCTTCACATTGGAATAAAAGCATATCAAACGAAACAATAAAAATGGTTTAAAACAGGTATAAAAGCATATCAATCGACACAATAAAACACTACAGGGAGTGCAGAATTATTAGGCAAATGAGTATTTTGTCCACATCATCCTCTTCATGCATGTTGTCTTACTCCAAGCTGTATAGGCTCGAAAGCCT